TGCCTAGCAGACATTGCAATATTGCAAGCCTGTGTGCTAGCAGGCATATCAGACATTGCAATATTGCAAGCCCATCTGTTAGCATGCATACATAGCAGATATTGCAAGGATGTCTATTACGTATGCATAGCAAAGATTGCAAGCACGTCTATTCGTTTGCATAGCAGGCATTAAAATATTGCAAGCATGTGTATTTGTTTTCATAGCAGACATTGCAATATTGCATGCATATCTGCTAGTATGCATAACAAAGATTGCAAGAGTGTCTATTCGTATGCCTAGCAGACATTGCAATATTGCAAGCCTGTGTGCTAGCAGGCATATCAGACATTGCAATATTGCAAGCCCATCTGTTAGCATGCATACATAGCAGATATTGCAAGGATGTCTATTACGTATGCATAGCAAAGATTGCAAGCACGTCTATTCGTTTGCATAGCAGGCATTAAAATATTGCAAGCATGTGTATTTGTTTTCATAGCAGACATTGCAATATTGCATGCATATCTGCTAGTATGCATAACAAAGATTGCAAGAGTGTCTATTCGTATGCCTAGCAGACATTGCAATATTGCAAGCCTGTGTGCTAGCAGGCATATCAGACATTGCAATATTGCAAGCCCATCTGTTAGCATGCATACATAGCAGATATTGCAAGGATGTCTATTACGTATGCATAGCAAACATTGCAAGCACGTCTATTCGTTTGCATAGCAGGCATTAAAATATTGCAAGCATGTGTATTAGCTTTCATAGCAGACATTGTAATATTGCAACCGCTTCTATTTCTATTCATAGCAGACATTGCAGTATTGCATGCATATCTGCTAGTATGCATAACAAAGATTGCAAGAGTGTCTATTCGTATGCCTAGCAGACATTGCAATATTGCAAGCCCGTCTATTAGTATGCATAGCAAAGATTGCAAGCATGTTTGTTCATTTGCATAGCAGACATTAAAATATTGCAAGCATGTGTATTGGTATTGATAGCAGACATTGCAATATTGCGCGTGTGTCTTTTAGTATACACAGCAAAGATTGCAAGAGTGTCTATTCGTATGCCTAGCAGACCTTGCAATATTGCAAGCCCATCTGTTAGCATGCATACCTAGGAGATCTCGTAAGGATGTCTATTACGTATGCATAGCAAACATTGCAAGCACGTCTATTCGTTTGCATAGCAGGCATTAAAATATTGCAAGCATGTCTATTCATTTGCATAGCAGGCATTGTAATATTGCAACCGCCTCTATTGAATGCATATCTGCTAGTATGCATAATAAAGATTGCAAGTGTGTCTATTCGTATGCATAACAGACCTTGCAATATTGCAAGCCTGTCTGTTAGTATGCATGCATAGCAGATATTGCAAGGATGCCTATTAGTATGCATAACAAAGATTGCAAGCACATCTGTTCATGTGCATAGCAGTCATTAAAATATTGCATGCATGTGTATTGGTATTGAGAGCAGACATTGTAATATTGCACGTGTGTCTTTTAGTATGCACAGCAAAGATTGCAAGGGTGTCTATTCATATGCCTAGCAGACATTGCAATATTGCAAGCCTGTGTGTTAGCATGCATATCAGACATTGCATGATTTGTGATGCTATTGCTTTTAAATGCTTAATGATTTTGTATTGTGTATACGTAAATTGTTGTAAACTGCTCTGAGTCGCCTAAGGGCTGAGAAGAGAGGTATACAAATAAAGTAAATAAATAAATAAAATAAATAAATTGCAATATTGCAAGCCTGTCTGTTAGCATGCATACATAGCAAATATTGCAAGGATGTCTATTATGTATGCATAGCCAAGATTGCAAGCATGTCTTATTTGTTTGCATAGCAGGCATTAAAATATTGCAAGCATGTGTATTAGTTTTCGTAGCAGACATTGCAGCATTGCAAGCCTGTCCGTGAGTATGCGTAGCAGATATTGCAAGCCTGTCAATTCGTATGCAGAGCAGACATCGAAATATTGCAGTTATATGTATTAGTATGCCCAGCAGACATTGAAATATTGTAAGCTTGTCTGTTAGTATTCATAGCAGGTATTGTCCTCAGTTATGGCGTATGAGGCTGGACTGGATGGCCTCTGGGGTTCCCTTCTGACTCTAAGATTCAGTGATTATATTATTTCTTGCTGGGAAGGTTTTCAACAGAGGCTGGCTGGCCATCCGTCAGGAGGGATTGGATTGTGCCTTCCCTTATAGCAGAAAGGGGCTGGACTGGATGGCCTCTGGGGTCCCCTTCTGACTCTAGGATTCAATGCTTCTATGGCAGATAGAAGTAAAATGCCTGTTTGTCTCACTTCCGGTTCCAGGAAACCGGTGTCTGCTTGCTTTGTGTATTTACTCTCATTCTACTTCTGCTTTTGGGGCAGGAAGAAGGGAGAGGAAGGCAGGTGCGTCCCTTGACAGGACCAGGACCATGTATGCATTATCTACATATACATATATGTACACACATATACAAACAGACAAACACCGGTGCTTTTGTGCAACAGGCAACAACATGTGCTTGCCTTCAAACAGGAAATAACACTTTCAAAAGCAGCAACAGACCATTTTCCAAACGTTACATAGCGTTCCCATGCTATGGGACCCTAGGAGTTGTAGTTTTAGTGGGGCACCAGCCCTCTTTGGCAGTGGAGGCTGGAGACCTTGTGAAATTACAACTCCTGGGAGTATTTGCGGAGCCGCAGACATTAAAACGGTGCAAGATGGCATGACATTCTGCAGTGCGGATGCACCCAAACGATTCCTGTCCAAGCGTTGCATCCTTTGCATCGGTCGCTTTTGTTGAAACTGCAAATCCCATCTATTCTGTGGCTCGTTGCAAACTGCAGATGCAATGCATTTGAATTATTATTATTATTACTACTATTATTACTAGACATCCCTTCCACATATTGCTGTAGCCCAGTCTGTGCAGATGTGTTTTGTGTGTGTATATATATTTGTGTATATTTGTATATATGTATGTTTGTGTGTATGTGGTTTTGCTCATGTGTTGTAATGCAATTTTTGTTTTTTGGCTTTTTAAGTCTCTTCTGCTGTGTTTTCCAGTGTTTCTATGAGTGATGGTCACTCGTTGGCCTGAGAGGGGTCTTGTGTCCAATTTGGTGTCAATTCGTCCAGTGGTTTTTGAGTTGTGTTAATCCCACAAACGTACATTACATTTTTATTGATATAGATATATTATATTATATTATTATATAAAATAATTTTCAAGCTTTGGGAAATTATATGCATTATTATATGAATTATTATAAATTATATGGATTATTATATAAAAGAATTTTCAAACTTTGGGAAATTATATGCATAACATATACTATGTATGTATGTGTACGTGTGTGTGTGTGTGTGTGTGTATGTGTGTGTGTGTGTGTGTGTGTGTATATATATATATATATATATATATATATTCTAAACATCTAGGAATGTATTTAGTTGTGGTGGTTATTATTTACTTTCCCAACTTTGGGAATAGAATTTTTAAACTTTGGGAAATTATATGCACATCATATTATATACATACATACATTTTCTAAACATAGAGGAATTTATTTAATTGCTGTAATGTACTTTCCAAACTTTGGGAATAAAATTTTCAAACTTTGGGAAATTATATGCATAATATATACTATGTGTGTGTATTCTAAATGTAGATGGATTTATTTAATTTTTGTTGTAGTGGTTGTTATTTACTTTTCCAACTTTGGGAATAGAATTTTCAAACTTTGGGATAATATACCCTCTCTCTGTCTGTCTGTAGATATTCTAAATGTAGATGAATTTATTTAATTTTTGTTGTTATTTATTTTCCAAACTTTGGGAATAAAATGTTCAAATTTTGGGAAAGTATATGCATAACAGATACTGTATGTATGGAGATGTGTGTGTGTGTGTGTATTCATTCTAAATGTTGAGGAATTTATTTAGTTGTTGTTGTTTACTTTTCAAACTTTGGGAATAGAATTTTTAAACTTTGGGAAATTATATGCATAACATATGCTATATGTATGTGTGTGTGTATGTATGTACGTATGTATATTAAACATAGAGGAATTTATTTAATTGTTGTTGTTATTTACTTTCCAAACTTTGGGAATAGAATTTTCAAACTTTGAGAAATTATATGCATAACATATACTATATGTATGCAAGTGTGTGTGTGTATATATATATTCTAAATGTAGATGGATTTATTTAATTGTTGTTGTGGTGGTTGTTATTTACTTTCCAAACTTTGGGAATACACATACACACACAACAGAGCGTATGTATGTATGTATGTATGTGTGTGTGTGTGCGTGTGTATATATATATATATATATATATATATATATATATATATATATTCATGCTCTGACATACACACACACACACACACACACATATATATATATTCCCTAAGGAGCCCCTTGTTCTCCCATTTTCCAGAAATAATCAAGTTCATTGCCTTTCTCCCAAAATTATTCCCAACTGCTGTTCTGCAGCCTAAAATATTTGCAAGCTGCAAATGCTCTGCATGATGCAAAAAGGCTTCGAAAATGTGGTTTTTTTCTTTGCAAAGGAACGGGACTATCTCACTGTGAGTTTTGGAAGAGAACCTACAATAATAATAATAATAATAATAATAATAATAATAATAATAATGTTTAAATCCCTACTACAATCCTGGGATTCATTCCCCTCCGTGTGTATGTGTTGCCTGTTTGGCTAATTGCAGAAAACGGGGCGTTGTTGCAACGGCGTGTTGTCCCGCCTTACTTGGGTGCCAGTCTTTCCTTCTGGGTGATTCAGGCTCAGAGGGCTCTTTGTCCTCCTTTTTGCAGCCGGAACTTCTGAGTAACCAACCAACCAACCAACCAACCAACCCGTTGAATGCCACACTCTGTGTTCTGCAAAACCTTCTCCACCTCTTTTGGGCACAAAGGCCTCCTATACCTCGACCTGGAAAAACAAACCAACAATTTTTTTGCAAAGTCTGGAAAAAGGAGAGTCAGGAGAAATGCTTCACTGTTAACCTTCTTTGGTGGGTTTGAAAATGTAAGGCTGGAGGGCCATCTTTCATGTAAAAAGGGTTGGTCTAGGTGACCTTTGGGGTGCTCTCCATATCTAATGGGATGTACCTTCTCAAAAAAAATGGTGGACTTTTTTTGAGGTCTTCAAACATTGGTTGGATGGCCATCTGATGGAAAGGTTTTGGTTGAGTTTTCTTGGATAGCAAAATGGGATTGGACTAGATGATCTTTGGGATGCTCACCATATCTAATGGGATATGCCTTCCCAAAAAAAAAAAGATGGACTCCTTTTGGCGTCTTCAAACATTGCTTGGATGGCCATCTGTCGGGAGGACTTTAGTTGCATCTTGAATGGCAAAAAAGAGTTGGTCTAGATGACCTCTAGATGGTCCTCTGTTTTTAAATGGGATATACTGCCTCAAAAAAATGGTGGACTTCTTTGGAAGCCTTCAAATAGAGAGGGTTGGATGGCCAACTGTCAGGAAGAACTGTCGTTGCACTTCTTGAATTGCAAAACTAGATGATCTTTGGGTGACCCTCTGTATTTGAATAGGATATACTTCCCCCACCTCAAATTGTGGACTTTGGGGGGCTTAAAACATCAGTTGGATGGTCATCTGTCAGGAAGGCTTTAGTTGCTTCTTAAATGGCAAAAAAAATGTTGGTCTAGATGACCTTTGGGTGGCCCTTTGTATTTAAATGGGATATACTGCTCCAGTCCTCTCCATTGATATACTTTCTTAAAGGGCTTCTTTTGAGGTCTTCAAACATTGGTTAGATGGCCATCTGTTGGGAGGGCTTTGGTTGTGTCTTCCTGCTTGACAGAAGTAGGTTGGACTAGATGGCCTTTGGGGTACCCTCCATATCTAATGGGATCTACTATCTCAAAATAATAGCCAACTTTGCTTTTTTTGGGGGGGGGGCGTCTTCAGACATCGGTTGAGCATCTGTTGAGAGGGCTTTGGTTGTGTCTTCCTGCTTGGCAGAAGTAGGTTGGACTAGATGGCCCTTTGAGTGCCCTCCACAACTAATGAGATATATACTATCTCAAAAGAATAGCCAACTTTGCTTTTTTGAGGGGTCTTCAGACATCAGTTGGCCTTCTGTTGAGAGGGCTTTGGATGTGTCTTCCTACCTGGCAGAAATAGAATGGACTAGATAGCCTTTGGGGTGCCTTCCATCTCTAATGGGATCTACTATCTCAAAAGAATAGCCAACTTTGCTTTCGGGGGTGGTCTTCAGACGTCAGTTGGCCATCTGTTGGGAGGGCTTTCGGTGTGTCTTCCTGCCTGACAGAAATAGGTGGGACTAGATGGCCTTTGGGGGTCCCATTCAAAATGCTATCATGGCTATATGAATTTGTGGACCCTAACGTTAATTAATAATGTATTATTATTATTATTATCATCATCATCATTGCTGCTTTGTGAAACATCTTCTCAACACGTTGGGTCCCACCTCCCATTTTCCCCAGGCAGGCAGTGGTGAAGCATGATGGGATTTGTAGTCTAAGAGGACCCTATACATCAGTGTTTCTCAACCTGGGGGTCGGGACCCCTGTGAGGGTCGCGAGGGGGTGTCAGAGGGGTCGCCAAAGACCATCAGAAAACATAGTATTTTCTGTTGGTCATGGGGGTTCTGTGTGGGAAGTTTGGTCCAATTCTATCATTGGTGGGGTTCAGAATGCTATTTCATTGTGGGTGAACTATAAATCCCAACAACTACAACTCCCAAATGTCAAGATTCTATTTTCCCCAAACTCCACCAGTGTTCACATTTGGGCATATTGAGTATTTGTAGAGTTTGGTCCAGATCCATCATTGTTTGAGTCCACAGTGATCTCTGTATGTAGGTGAACTACAACTCCAAAAACTCAAGGTCAATGTCCACCAGACCTTCCCAGTATTTTTCTTGGTCATGGGAATTCTGTGTGCCATGTTTGATTCAATTCCATCATTGATGGAGTTCAGAAGGCTCTTTGATTTAAGGTGAACTATAAATCCCAGCAACTCCAGCATTACCAAATGACAAAATCAATCACCCCCAATCCCACCACTATTCAAATTTTGAGTGTATCGGGTATTTGTGCTAAATTTGGTTCAGTTAATGAAAATACATCCTGCATATTTACATTATGACTGTTTTAACTGTAGCAAAATGACAGTTATGAAGTAGCAACGAAAATAATGTTATGGTTGGGGGTCACCACAACATGAGGGGCTGTACTAAGGGGTCGCGGCATTAGGAAGGTTGAGAAACACTGCTATACATTGCTGTATTCCTTGCATTTCACGAATGTTTTGCAATGGAGTCAGGCTTTGTGCACGCACCAAGGAAAACAAACCTGTTTATGCACATTTTCCTCTCGTCTTTTTTTTGCAAGTTGGTTACTTGGGTTGCAATTAGAGTGCCTGCAATGAAGAAAGGAAAGGGAAACATTGTTGTTTTGCAGGACTTAGAGTTCATAACAATACAATGTTGCTGTGAAAAATCACTCTCTCTCTCTCTCTATATATATATATGTATGTATATATATCACATGTATACTATATATCTTTCTCCCTTTTGTTTATGCTCTTTTTCTTTTTCAATGTGGGTTACTTTGGATGATTGTGAATTGCAGCATCTGCATTCAAATTAATAAATAGAAGGGGAAAATAGAAAGAAAATATTGGGTTTTCAGGAGAAATCAGTTGTGAATTATAGTGACTGCATTACATTATTATTATTATTATTATTATTACATAATTACTATGATTGTTATATTATTATATTATATTATTATGATAGTGTTCCTCCAAAACCTTTGCTATTCTAGTCCCCCGAAAACAACTTTTCCAAACTTTTTCAAGGGTAAAGGTAAAGGTATTCCCCTGACATTAAGTCCAGTCATGTCTGACTCTGGGGTGTGGTGCTCATCTCCATTTCTAAGCCGAAGAGCCGGCGTTGTCTGTAGACACCTCCAAGGTCATGTGGCCAGCATGACTGCATGGAGCACCGTTACCTTCCCGCCGGAGCGGTACCTATTGATCTACTCACATTTGCATGTTTTCGAACTGCTAGGTTGGCAGAAGCTAGGGCTGACAGCGGAAGCTCACGCCGCTCCCCAGAATCGAACCTGCGACCTTTTGATCAACAAAGCTCAGCAGCTCAGTGCTTTAACCCACTGTGCCACCGGGGGCTCCAAAATTTTTCAAACTTTCCCATATTTATTCAAAATTTTCCAAACTTTCTCAAACTTTTCTAAATCTTCTCAGACTTTTTCAGACTTTCCCAAACTTATTCAAAATTTTCCAAACTTTTTCCAGACATTTACAAACTTCTTCAAAGTTTCCAAACTTTTTCAAACTTTCCCAAACTTTTAAACTTTTTCACATTCCCCAACTCTCCCAAATGTTCTCAAACTTTCATAATTTTTTTCAAACTTTTCCAGGCTTTTTCTAACATTTCCAAACTTTCTTTAAAAAATTCCCAAACTTTCCTAAACTTTCTCAAACCTTTTCAGACATTTCCAAACTTTCTCAAACTTTTCTAAATCTTCTCAGACTTTTTCAGACTTTCCCAAACTTATTCAAAATTTTCCAAACCTTTTCAGACATTTCCAAACTTTTTCAAACTTTCCGAAATTTATTCAAAATTTTCCGGACTTTCTCAAACTTTCCTAAACTTTCTCAAACCTTTTCAGACTTTTCCAAACTTATTCAAACTTTTCCAAACAATCAAAATTTTCCAGACTTTTTCAAACATTTCCAAAGTTTTTCAAACTTTCCCAAACTTATTCAAAGTTTTCCAAACTTTCCCAAACTTTCCTAAATCTTCTCAAACTTTTTCAGACTTTCCCAAACTTATTCAAAATTTTCCAAACATTTCCAAACTTATTCAAAGCTTCCAAACGTTTTCAAACTTTCCCAAACTTTTTCACTTTTTCACTTTCCCCAACTATCCCAAATGTTCTCAAACTTGCATAATTTTTTTCAAACTTTTCCAGACATTTCCAAACTTTCTTTAAAAAATTCCCAAACTTCAAAACTTTCTCAAATATTTTCAGACTTTCTCAGATATTTTCAAACTTGTCCAAACTTTTTCAGTTTCCCAAATTTTTGAAATTTTTTCAGACTTCTCCAAACTTTTTCAAACTTTCCTCCAAACTTTCCCATTGCAGCCCTTCACTTCCGGGTGGGCTAATTCTCGGCCTTTTCCACACTTCCAGGTTGAAGACCTAATCCCAGCCCGGGGCCCTTGGGGCCCTTGACCACATTCCTGGGGGTCTCATCCCCCAAAAGCCCCAAAGAGGATGGAGCTGGAGGAAGGCTTCAATGGGGTGAGTATTTGCAGAGGGGCATCATAGCTTGCAAGATAAAGATCCAATGGGAGTTGCAGTACATTCAATATGGGTCCCATCAATTGGCTGGGAGTCTGGACTAGATGACCTTTGGGTGCCCCTCTCAGTTTACTCACCCTTTCCTCTGAAGAGAGAGCAGTCGATTTCCTCTGTTCCATATTTCTAATATTAACCATTTACTAGCCAAAACACAGAATCCTATATTTTGTAAGGGGTCCCCCAAAGGCCATCTAGTCCAGCCCTCTTCCCCCATGAAAGAAGGCACCATCAAAGCCTTCCTGGCAGATAGCTATCCAATCTTCTGCAAAGCCTCCAGAGAAGGAGATGCCATCATCCTTATCCAAAGCAATGTTGATGACGATGGTTGAATCCTAGTGTTGGAAGGGACCCCCAAAGCCATCCAGTCTAACCCCATCTGTGAAAAAGGAACACCCAATCCAATCCCTCCCGATAGATGGCCATCCAAACTCTTATTTTATTTGATGAGTCTGAATAATAATAATAATAATAATAATTATAATTATAATTATAGGATCCTAGAGTTGGAAGGGCCCCCTAAAGGCCACCCAGTCTAACCCCATCTGCCAAAGAGGAAGACCCAATCCAATCCCTCCCAACAGATGGCCATCCAAACTCTGACTTAATAATAATGGCTCCTTCCTTTTCTCCTGCACAGAACCCAGCGCTTGGCGCTCGGAGCGGCTCCGCCATGGCCATCATCGGCGCCGAAGACGAGGATTTCGAAAACGACATCGAGCCCGTGAGTGAAGCATCTGCACCACACAGTTATCACACTTTGATCCCACTCTAGATTTACTACACTGCAGATAGAATGCAGTTGGGCCCTGCTTTGAATTCCCAAGGCTCAAGGCCAGGGGTTGATGAGAGTCGTACTTGGGTATCCCTTGGTGGAGAAAAGAAAAGGCCTTGGCAAACTACCAATCCCAGGAATTCCATTGCCTTTCACTGCCTGCATCCCACTGAGCAGATGTGCCCTTAGCAAAACTATAAATTCCAGGGATGCACTAGCCTTGCGCTGTTTTAATTCCACTGCGCAATCTGTCCCTTAGTAAAACTACAAATTCCAGGGATCCAGTAAGTTTACACTGCATGCATTACACTGCTCTGATGAGTTGCTTAGCAAAACTACAAATCCCAGGGATCCTATTGCCTTGCGCTGCATGCATTGCACCGTGCAGATGTGCCCCTTAAAACTACAAATCCCAAGGATCCCACTGCCTTGCACTGCATGCATTCCGCTATTCAGATGTTTCCCTTAATAAAACTACAAATCCCAGGGATCCAGTAAGTTTACACTGCATGCATTACACTGCTCTGATGTGTTGCTTAGCAAAACTACAAATCCCAGGGATCCCATTGCCTTGCGCTACATGCATTGTACTGTGCAGATGTGCCCCTTAAAACTACAAATCCCAAGGATCCCATTGCCTTGCGCTGCATGCATCCCACTATTCAGATGTGTCCCTTAGTAAAACTACAACTCTCAGAGATCCAGTAGGTTTCCGCTGCATGAATTACACTGCTCAGATGTGTTACTTAGCAAAACTACAAATCCCAGGGATCCCATTGCCTTGCACTGCATGCATTGTACTGTGCAGATGTGCCCCTTAAAACTACAAATCCCAAGGATCCCACTGCCTTGCGCTTTGTGCATTCTATTCTGATGTGTCACTTAGTGAAACTACAAATCCCAGGGATCCCATTGCCTTGTGCTGCATGCATTGTACTGTGCAGATGTGCCCCTTAAAACTACAAATCCCAAGGATCCCACTGCCTTGCGCTTTGTGCATTCTATTCTGATGTGTCACTTAGTGAAACTACAAATCCCAGGGATCCCATTGCCTTGTGCTGCATGCATTATACTGTGCAGATGTGCCCCTTAAAACTACAAATCCCAAGGATCCCATTGCCTTGCACTTCGTGGATTCTGCTATTCCGATGTGTCCCTTAGTGAAACTACAAATATCTTGCGCTGCATGCATTCTGCTATTCAGATGTGTCCCTTAGTAAAACTACCAATCCCAGGAATTAAGTTGGTTTATGCTGCATGAATGACACGGCTCAGATGTGTCAATTAGGAAAACTACAAATCCCAGGGATCAAACATCCTTTCGCTACATGCCTTGTGCTATTCAGATGTGTCCCTTAGCGAAACTACAAATCCCAGGAATACAATTTGTCTCGCACTGCATGCCTTGTGCTATTCAGATGTGTCCCTTAGTGAAACTACAAATCCCAGGAATACAATTTGTCTCGCACTGCATGCCTTGTGCTATTCAGATGCGTCCCTTAGTGAAACTACAAATCCCAGGGATACAATTTGTCTTGCACTGCATGCCTTGTGCTATTCAGATGTGTCCCTTAGTAAAACTACAAATCCCAGGGATCAAATAGCCTTGTGCTGCATACCTTCTGATAATCAGATGTGTCCCTTAGTAAAACTACAAATCCCAGGGATTCCATTGCGTTGTACTGCCTGCATTCTACTGTTCGGATGTGCCCTTAGCAAAACTGCAAATCCCCCCGTTTTAACCCTTTCAGTTCCAGAACCCGGAGGCCCAGAGCGGCCTGTTCCAGAGCCTGAAGGTGCTCAAGTCCCACCCGACCTACCTGATGGCCTTCCTGCAGCATGTCGTCCTGCAGTTCGACTCCAGCCCCGTGGTGCGTTGGCTTGTTTGTTTGTTTACTGGTGTTTGTTTACGTGTTTGCTTGTTTGTTTGTGTCATTTTGCATTCTTCCCTGCATCAGATGTAAACAGGGGAAAATGTACAGAGAACCATAGAATTCTAGAGTTGGGAAGGGAACCCCAAAGGCCATCTAGTCCAACCCACCTTCTCCCTGGCAATAAGGCACAATTCGATCCCTCCTGGAAGATGGCCATCTAGCCATAGATAAAGATGTTCATGCAGACAATCAAGAGAAACAGATGATAGATCTAGATCATAGTATCCTTGAGTTGGAAGGGAACCCCAAAGGCCATCTAGTCCGATCCTGTTTCTGCCAGGGAAGACACAATTCAATCCCTCCCGACAGATGGCTATCCAGCCATAGAGATTATAAAGGTAAAGAGGTGATAGATCTAGATCGTAATATCTTAAAGTTGGAAGGGAACTCCAAAGGCCATCTAGTCCGACCCTACTTCTGCCTGGGAATAAGACACAATTTGATCCCTCCCAACAGATGGCTATCCAGCCATAGATAAAGATGGCCATGCAGATGATCGAGAGAAACAGATGATAGATCTAGATCATAGTATCCTAGAGTTGGAAGGGAACCCCCAAGGGCCATCCAGTCCAACCCTGCTTCCGCGTGGTAATAAGACACAATTCGATCCCTCCTGGAAGATGCCCATCTAGCCATAGATAAAGATGGCCATGAAGATGATCAAGAGAAACAGATGATAAATGTAGATCATAGTATCCTAGAGTTGGAAAGGGAACCCCCAAAGTCCATCTAGTCCGATCCTGTTTCTGCCTGGGTATAAGACACAATTCAATCCCGCCTGGAAGATGCCCATCCAGCCATAGATAAAGATGGCAATGCAGATGATTGAGAGAAACAGGTGATAGCTCTAGATCATAATATCTTAAAGTTGGAAGGGAACTCCAAAGGCCATCTAGTCTGACCCTGCTTCTGCCTGGTAATAGGACACAATTCGATCCCTCCCGACAGATGGCCATCCAGCCATAGAGATGATAAAGGTAAAGAGATGATAGATCTAGATCAGGCATGGGCCAACTTTGACCGTCCCTCCAGGAGTTTTGGACTTCCACAACCAGAAGTCTTAATTAAGTCTGTATTATTATTATTATTATTGTTGTTATTATTATTATTATTATTATTATTATTGTATTTATGTTGCAGCTCTGCTCCCTTCACGCGGACCTCATCCTCAACCGCTTGGGACCCAAAGAAGCCAAGAAGCAGTTTGTCGAATTCTGCCACATGTTTTTGGACAAAGCCGGGGTCAGTAAACAACAACAAATAAATAAATAAACAAACAGTGCTTCCTCCTTCCCAGCACCCTTTGCTTCTTCCTCTTTGGGCGCACCTAACACTGTTGAGTCAATGCAGTTTGGCCTCGCTTTGAACCCGTGCTATGGGATGATGGGAGTTGTAGTTTCCCTTTTGAGCATTAAGCCAGGGCAGTTAAAAGTCAAAAGGGCATTAAAGTGGCACCAAACTGCATCCGTTCCACAGTGCAGACGCACCCTTTTGACACCCATTTCACCATTATAGTAATAGAGAAAATGAAGCTCTCTTTCCCTCTATATATATATGTATGTATGTATGTATGTACATATGCTTAACTTGCTGACAGTGCGAATGGCTCCTCCCTCTTTGTTACGACTTATTTCCTCCTTGAAACCACTTCCTTTTGTTGCTGTTTCCGCTCTGACAGTTGCACCCCCTCTCTCTCTATATATATATGTGTCTGTGTATGTATATGTGTGTATATATGTATATGTGTGTGTATTATATTTGTGTGAATATATATGTGTATACATATATGTGTGTATGTATATATGTGTATGTATAGGTATATGTGTATCCGTATATATGTGTATCCGTATACATGTGTGTATGTATATATGTGTTTATGTGTATGTATATGTGTATGTATATATGTGTTTTTCTGTGTGTATGTATGTGTGTGTGTGTATATATATATGTGTGTATACATATATATGTATATGTGTATGTATATATGTGTTTATGTATGTGTGTATGTATGTATATTGTATGTATATGTGTATACATATATATGTATACACATATACATACATATACACATGTATGCCGTAAAAGGGGCATTGCTTGCCTGGCGACATTTGCTTGAAGGGGCCCAACACCCTTTTGAAGTTTGGACCGATCATAAAAATTTGAAGGCCCTCCAGACTCCTCAAAGGCTGAGTCCAAAACAAGTCAGGTGGGCCGAGTTCTTCAGTAGGTTTAATTTTACCTTAAACCACTTTCCTGGAAAAAGTAACTGCATGGCGGATGCCTTATCAAGATTGCCACAGTATGAGAGCAGAGCTCCTGAGGTGGTTGGAACGGTGTTCACACCTGAGCAGCTGGCGTTGGTAGTTCAGACGAGGTCCCAATCTCAGCGAAAGGTGTCAGATGCTAACCGTGGAAAGTTTTTAGAAGGTGGGTGGTTGAAAGTGTTCCAAGATGGATATAAGGCTGATCTGTGGCTACCGGAGCATCGGGGTGGACTAGAGGAAAAAGATGGACTGTGGTATCACAGAGAAAAGGTGTATGTTCCGGAGTCTGTTCGTGTAAAGGTATTAGAGAGGTCTCATGACCATAAAACAGCTGGGCACTTTGGATTTGTGAAAACTTTACAGCTAGTATCCCGTCAGTTTTGGTGGCCAAAAATCCGGAGAGATGTAAAGAGCTATGTACAAGAATGTGTCACCTGTGCAAGGGGAAAGTCTTTGATTGGAAAACCAAGAGGGTTGTTACAACCCGTGGCCAGTCCTTCTAGACCCTGGAAACAGGTTGCGATGGATTTTATTGTAGATCTACCTGAGAGCAAAGGATGTACAGTTATCTGGACTATTATAGACTTATTCTCTAAGCAAGCCCATTTTGTACCGCTAAAGAAGGTTCCAAGCGCACCACAGCTAGCAAAGTTACTGCTACAACATGTATATCGCCTTCATGGGTGTCCTGAGAGGATAATATCAGACCGGGGATCACAGTTTACAGCTAAGTACTGGAAGGCCTTTCTACGCATGATGGGAACTGAGCAAGGGTTGAGCTCTGCTTTCCATCCCATGACTGATGGCTGCACAGAACGAGTTCAAAAATCTTTGGAGCAATTCTTAAGGTGCTATGTCAGTTATCAACAGGATGATTGGGAACAGTTGCTTCCTTTTGCTGAAGTGTGTTACAATAAGAGCGTTAAGATCTTCCGGGGAGGCCCTGCTCTCGGTTCCGCCGGCGTCACAAGTGCGGCTGGCGGGCACGAGAGACAGGGCCTTCTCGGTGGTGGCCCCTCGGCTATGGAATGCGTTACCGGTGGACATCAGGCAGGCCCCTTCGTTGCTGGTGTTTCGGAGGAGGGTGAAGACGTGGCTCTACGAGCAGGCATTTGGATAACTATGTAGTAACAACTAACTCAATAATGACGGCATCAGACAAGGAATGGAAAAGGATCTTGAGATCGGAATCTGATTCTAAGTATGGCGTTGATGATTATGTGTTTTGTTTGTATTGTGCGTCTCATATATTGTTTAGTGTTGCTTTTACTGTAAACCGCATTGAGTCGCCGCCTCAGGCTGATATATGCGGTATACAAATAGAGTAAATAAATAAATAAATAAATAAATAAATAACTCATTTCATGTGTCTATAGGTTGTACTCCGTTCAAAGTGGTTTATGGACAGGACTTTGTGCCAATCCCAGAGCTAAAGATGGAACAAGAGGGAGTAGAAACCCCTTCGGAATGGAGCAAAAAGATAGCTGAAAGTTGGCCAGTCATTAAAAGTGCGTTGGAAAAGTCCAGGGAGGACTACAAGAAGTTTGCTGATAGGAAAAGGGCTCCACAGTGGGATTTTAACATCGGAGATAAAGTCTATTTGTCAACCAAATTCCTAAAGACAACCCAACCATCAAAGAAATTGGTGCCGAAATATTTGGGTCCTTTTGAAATAATCAAGAAAATCAACCCTGTCACAGTTAAGTTGTCCTTGCCACATCGTCTAAGGAGGGTACATCCAGTGTCCCACTGCAGTTTATTAAAATCTGTGTGTGGTCATGCCAAGTGGCACTTGCCAGGTGAGGTCCCAAATCCTATTCTGGTAGATGGGGAACAACATTTCGAGGTTGCTGATATTTTAGACTCCAGAAGACGTCGTGGAAGTTTACAGTATTTAGTGAAGTGGCGCCATTTCAATGACTCTGAGTGGGTGAGGGCAGCGGATATTCGAGCGCCACAGCTAATTAGGCGTTTTCATGTAAATTATCCCATGAAACCTAGTTAAGGTCGATGCTGCCGGTGTTTATGTTTTTCTTTCTAGGGGAGGAATCATGTCAGGAGTCAATTTCTGACGTCGTGGAGACATCATAAATTTCCTGCATGACATCCCGGCTGGATCATCCTGGCTGAGTTTTCTTTCTCTGGTTTTCCTGGTTTTCTTTCTCTGACATTTTGACATTGTGAAGCCAGCAGAGGGCGCTGGAGACTTTGTGTTGGAACTTGGGAGGGGGTATAAAAGGAAGTGGTGGTGGGGAAAAGGCAATAGTGTCTTCCTTTGCTGTGGAGAAACAAGCAAATTATATTCATTTCCATACTGACTTGTGAGTGATTATTTGCTACAAAAACCTACAGTCTTACAGCACCCTAGCAAACCTTTTGTATCGTTACCCCAATACCCCCTTGCATATGAGATATATTCAGCATGGTGATCAGATCATGATATGAGTAAACATAACAGTTTAAATAGTGTGAGGCCTTTTCACGGACCACCATGAGTATTTGGGGGGGGGCTGAAGCCCCCCAAGCCCCCCCCCCCCCCGGCTACATGCCTGGAGAGATCCCTTGGGATGGGAGATCTCTCAATAGATCTCTGTTGGGGTCCAGGTCCAGATTTCTGCTGGGGATCCAAGCCCAAATGTTCTGCATACAGAATTTTCCCTTCTGGGCCCATGGAACTGACTGGGCTTTGAACATTGAATTATGCTGCAAGAATTGTTTCAGTCATTAAGGTCCCAAAAACATTTTTGCTGCAGTTGTTGATAAAGCATCACTTTTGAGGAGGAGGAGGAGGCCGAAACAAAGGGCTCAGAGGCACCCAGAACAGGTTTCCCTGAAGCTTCTCTCTGGCCAAAGCCATGGGCCCTTGCAACTTCCGTGGGCTGGCTGACCATGACCCACCTGGACCCCCACGCTGAACCCTCCGGCCGACTCTCCCATGATGGTCACCAAAGCGGGGTCTCCTCCAAAGGCCTCGATGTTCTCCTGGACCCACCTGAGGGCTGCCACCTGGTCCAGCAAGCCCCAGTTGCCAGGCGCCTCCTTGGATCCGGTGCTGGAAGAGAGAGCCACAGCACGAAGGAGAGCTGGTCAAGCGACCCAGCAGCATTTGACTCCCATAAGCGAGGGAGTGACCATCTTATTACAATACTCGATTGGGGAAAGGATAAGGAATGCAGTAATTGCGGTAAGCCGCCTTGGGTCCATTGGAGAAAGGCGGGGTAGAAAAATCCAAAATAAATAAATAATAAATGGCAATTGTAGAACCTGGAGATTTATAACTTTATACATAACTTTATTTTTATACCCCGCCTCCATCTCCCCGAAGGGACTTGGGGCGGCTTACATGGGGCCATGGCCAGCGGTACAGTTAAAACAAAACACATTACAATCTCATCAACAACATAATAACAGAAGCAATGTAACAAAGTAAAAAACCAATAACATTAAGCAACATATAAAACAAAACGTGAAGGCCAACAACCAAAGGTAAAATTCAGCGTCTCGCCGTGGGTGGGCAGACTGGTGCCACAACCATAAAGGATAGAGCTAGTGAGTAAAGTGCATGTATCATATAGCAGCATTAAGGTTAGGAAAAGTTATCAGTCAAGGTTGAAACGTAATAGTGCTGAAGTGCTTAAGGACAGATGTGTGTGTGTGTGTGTGTCCTGACTAGGACCAGCTCTCCAAGGCACAGCCTAGTCGAAGGCGAAGCAGAGCACCCAGGTCTTTAAGCTTTGAGTTGCCTGAGGACTGAGAAAAGCAGTATATGAATAAAGTAAATAAATAAAGTAAATAAATAAACAAGCTTTGCCTCAACAGTTTTGTTGCAACAGCCAATAAGCAGGAAAACTCAAAATGAATACTTCTAAATAGATCGAAGCAGAGGTATGATAAAGTTGGGGGGAAAAACTTCTAAATTAAAGCCAAAAGGAAAAATATTGACAGGCCAATGATTAGTGACATAAAATAAAAAGATGGTTTAGAAACGATGATAAGAGAAATCAATCAAGGATTCCAAACCTTCTGCCGACATCTTCATCATTCAGAAAGTAAAGCATCCCAAGATATATTTTTTAATTGTGGTATGTCACCATTAAAAGCTCTTTCTGAAAAACTAGATGCGCTGTCAGCCTCCTTCCTTGGGTGTGGCAGCATGTCACAACAGGATAAAAAAAGGTCCAAATGGGCCGAGACTGGCCGGTCAAGCAAAGCGCAACAAGAAGGCCTTTCTCTAGACCAGGAGTCCACAAACTTCTTAAACAGAGGGTCACAGTCCCTCAAACTGTTGGAGGGCCGGATTATAATTTGAAAAGCATGAATGAATTCCTATGCACAAGGCACATATCTTATTTGTAGGGAAAAAACACTTAAAAACAATACAATAATTAAAAGGAAGAACAATTTTAACAAATATAAATGTGTGAGTATTTCAATGGGAAGTGTGGGCCCGCTTTTGGCTGATGAGATAGCATTGTTGTTGTTATTGTTTGCTTTCAAGTCATTTCAGACTTAAGCTGACCCTGAGCAAGGGCCGGCTAAATGACCTTGGAGGGCTGTATCCGGCCCCCGGGCCTTAGTTTGAGGACCCCTGCTCTAGCCCTTCCATACTGCCCCTATATCCCAGGATGTGATCCCAGGTTATCTGCTTTGAACTGGAGTATATGAGTTTTCACTGCCATATAATCTGGAATCCGATCCTGGGATATGGTGGCAGTACGGAAGGGGCCTCGGAGACATTTGAGGGAAGAGAATGGCCAAGAAGACAAGGGGCCGCTGTCCTGTGAGACGGTCAAAGGCCTTCCTCACCTGAAGAAGCCCGGGATCCCCACCCGGTACTGAAGGACCACCACCACCACGTCCTCAAAGGCAGAGAGGCTGGGCGCGTTGTATGGGGAGGCGGACCCCATAACCAGGGCCCCGCCATGGATCCAGACCAGCACCTGCAGAGGGACACAGTGGAGGACGGGGCTCATGGCCAAACATTGGGGGGCATGCCGGTTGCCTTGCTTCCCTCTGGACCGCCTCCAGCCCTAAGGCTACAGGGTCCCTAAACTGACCAAGGGGGCAGCTCTTTGGGGCCAAAGTGCAAATCAAAAGAGAAGACCCCCAGCACCAGGCCCCAAGGACCAGTGGCCACCCATTGCCAAAAAGCCGTAGCAATGGCCAGGGGGGCAGCGCCTGTCTCACCGGCAATTTGGCCTCTGTGTCCGGCGTGAAGACGTTGAGGTAGAGGCAGTCCTCAGAGACGGCCATGTCGGGCAGCGTCACATTCAGCGCTTGGCTCATCTCCTGCATCCAGCTCAGGTCCTGCAGGCACCTTGCAAACAGGGCAGGGAGGGGCAAGGTGAGGCAGCCAAGCCATCCCCCCCCCCCAGAGCGGGCCAGGCTCTTCCTGAAGGAGGGGGGCCCAAGGGCTCTCTGTGCCCCTTCTGCTGACCCTTGCCTGCCATGTGAAGCCACTGTGCCTTTGGGGCCGGAGACAACAGGCTCAGTCTCTCCTGTGGGGCAGCAGCCCCTGGGGGCCCCAAAGAGAGGCCCCTTTCCACCCCGAGGAACCAGCCCCGCTCCCCAGGCTTCCCTTGTCTGTTCGGTTCTCCTTCCCTCGAGGCGGCAGCCTGTGAAGGGATCCTCCCAAAGGGCCCCCCAGAGCTGAACACGGGGGCCAGCAACCTCGCCTCCCTGGCCTGAACAACAGGAAGAGGCCCCAAGGGCACAATGGTCTGGTGAGACCCCCAGGGCCCCTCTTCCCAGTCTGGCAGCTGAGCAGGGGAAGGGAGTCCATTTGAAGGGAAACAACAAAAACAATCCAAGCACGCAACTCCATGATGTCCAGCAGCACGAGATCAGGATGATACTTCAGAACACTTGATGTTGTATTCTTTCCCAATTCAGCACACAGGATCCATATTTACGAGTCTATTTTTGACACCTTTAAGGACGCACACAACGGGACTCCTCCAGTTTGGAAAGGCAGCCTGCTGGGCTCTTTGGGTCCCAACTGTGGCTTTCCTGCTGCTTTTTCACCCATTGCATCACTTTGGGGGCTGGCTTGACCCCAACCGCCCCCCATCACCCTCAAAATGTCTCCTCTGTCCCTAGCACACGTGTGAATCCCTGGCCCTGCTGCCCACCCCCCTGGCCGCACCTCAAGCCCCTTCGGGTCCAGGGGGAGGTGGCCCCCGGCCCGGCCTGGAGAGGGCCACCCCTGCGCTCCTTCCTTACATGGGGGGCTGGGAGGCGGCCTCCCTCAGCTGGGGCCAGGGCTCAGGCGGCTCAGGCGGCGCGAAGCGGAGGGCGCCCAGGGGGGGCTTGGCGAAAGGGACCCCGAGGAAGGCCTGGACGGGGCCAGCAGCGCCCTCCACGCTCATCAGGGTCCCCCGCAGGCGCCCCAGTCGGGTGGAGACGGTCGGGCGGGCGCTTCCAGGACCTGGAGGCAGAGACAGGAGAGCCGTGAGGGTCCTCCCCACAGAACTGGGGGCTTCCATCCTCGGAGCAGAAGGGGCCACGACCAGAGGGGGCCGGGGCAGTGGCGGGGAAGGGTAACTGCCCTCCTGTCCTGGGCTCCGGAGCGGACGAGGAGGGCCTCTGGCCTCAGACCCAACTCCTGGGTCCAGCCTGACTCCCACATGCACGCAACATGCTGGGTGCAATGGGAAGTCTTTGGAAGAATACGGTGCAGTCTGGAAGTAGCTAAAGACACTCCGGGATCGATGCAAGGTGTACAGAAGTTGATTGAAAATGATATGATTATAACTGTATTTGTGTTTGCACTGGTTGCCCTAATGCTGGAGCGGCCTAGCTGTGAGGA